CAATCATCACAGCAAAATGTTTCCTATACATGGTGGGTTGTTTGAATGATCATCGGTGGAGAAACACAATGTAGAAGTGAACCCCCGTGAAACTCCCTCTTCCTCTTCGTGTGTTCAGCTCATACTTAAACAGTTTAAACTAATGAGAACTTTTAAGGCTGGTCACCTCTCTTGATGTATTAATAGTGCCCTAATTTTGCTAAGAAGGGAGCATTACGAACTAGAAAAGCATCACCCAGAAACATGTTATAGTTCCACCAGCAGGTCTATATGACATAATTGTTCCAGTCAATTCATTGCACTCAGATATACATCCCATAACAATTGATGTACTCTAAGGTTGAGAATTACCAGTTAGCTTAGGTCAAATCGATACAAAAACACTTTTTCTTCAATAAGTCTAGTCCAAATAAAAAACAGCAAAACTTCTAATATCTCTTTTCTGATTAAAAAGTTTAAATTGTTACACAGGACTAGATCAAAGCAAAGTAGAATATTTTATTGTTGTGAACTTTATTCAGGAATTCTATGTTCCTGGAATATTTATAGACAGCACCAACACAACTATTGGTACTAATCAACACATCTATTACCAACTAATACAACTTCCAGAAATAACTACCTATAACTTCCAGAAATAACTACCCATAACTGTCCCTTTTATTTTTAAAATTTAAATCTAAACTAACTAACTTATGACAAGGAATTAAACAATACGATTAAATCTAACATAAATCTCAAAAAAAACAGTTTCAAGAACACACACCACAAATTTTAACCCAAAGCTTCACTAATATTAATTGCAAAATCACAAACCACATATCTGAAACTGAAATAAGCCATTTTACAATAAGATTTTTTTAAGACAATCAGACACAAAGCACGAATATACTGCAATTTCGAACGGGAGCTCAACAACACCGAACACAACCGTACACAAACGCAGAAAGCTCAACACATTTTCTCACAATTCAACCTACTACTAATAGATCTAGGGTTTAAGAGTTGTTACCCCGTAGACCGAATCGAAATCTGCTAAAAGTGGAGGTAATAACCCTATCCGCGACCTCTTTGGCGATGGCCGATGGGATGGTGTGCCTTGACTAGTCAGGGTTTGGAAACGGGAAAGATATACCAATTGGGGGCAAGTAAGAATATAAAGAGTGTGTGTTCAGAAACAGGAAAGCATTCGAATAAACAGTAACTAGAGGGGTATATGGTAAACTGGTAGTACTTATTCTAAAGTAGAGTAGTACTCATTCTCACACAATCAT